TCCCTCTCAAGATTTTCTAAGTGGATCTGTGGTAGGCAGTTAGACAGACCAGAGCAGAGCAAGGACTAAGGCAGTGATGGTGAACCTATGACACGCAAACTCATTTTTTTGGTTGATTTTTCTTTGTTAAATGGCATTTAAATATATAAAATAAATATCAAAAATATAAATCTTTGTTTTACTATGGTTGCAAATATCAAACAATTTCTATATGTGACACGGCACCAGAGTTAAGTTAGGGTTTTTCAAAATGCTGACACGCTGAGCTCAAAAGATTCGCCATCACTGGACTAAGGTCAACAGGGTGAAAAGCCCCAGGTCCCTAGCAGAGGACAATTGTAGGGTGGGACCTCATCCCCAGGGGGACCTTTCCTCCCCTCGGGTATTGCTGGTCATCTGGTTTGGATAGCCTCACCTTTCCTTTCTAAAGATAACATTTAGGCCTCAGTTGTATTTCAGCTCAGGCTCAGAAGAGCAACAAAACCAGCCAGAGACCTTGGCCTTGAAAGAACACACCTGGAAAACTGCTGTATATTCATTCTATTGAGATATTCCCCTGGGACCTCCCCTAAAATCTCACCCTTAAAACCCATAGGACAGAGGATCCAGCGGCTCTCCCTCCTGGGAGCATGCCATGCCTTTCCCTATTCTCTTATAGTTGAAGTCTTGGCTCTGAATTCTTTCCTAGCCAAAACTCAAGCACCAAGGTTGCTGAACCCAGGTCCAATCTGACCCCATGGGTCTAACACCCAGTGCAGTTCCCGCCGCCTACAACAATAGCATTTCAGTGGCAATGCTGACCTGAAAGACACCCCTGGACCAAGTGCTGAAAGTGATTCATTTAAGGCTTCTAGGGGGTGGTTCGATAAATTTAAGAAGTGTTTATTTATAGATTAAATAGTACATTAGATATGTGCTGTATATAAGAAAAGTCAAAAGAGGGAATTGTTGGTGGATCTTGAACTGATTAATTCAATTTACATTATTTCTAATGGGAAAAAAATGATCCAGTTTTCAAACAAATTGCTTCTCGAATAGCCTTCCAGAATGAATTAAACTTGAGAACTGAAGTTCCACTGTATTTTCATTTTGAGAGATACTTTAGTATCTTTCCAATAAATCCACCAAGTTGAACTCAGCTCAAGTTGAGTTCTGTTACTTGCAACTAAAAAGCTAAACTAATACAATATAGATGCAAATTTCTTGAGGTCTTGGCAACAAGTTTTAGAGAAGTATTAAAAACCTTTGTTACACGAGAATGAAGATCTACTCTCCTAAAGAGGGGAAAATGTGAGATAAATAAATAAATAAGTATATCTACAGAGAAGAGAATTACTTATAAAGAAAGGAACCAGAAAATTGAAAATTGCCTTAGGATAATTCTAAACTGCTGGGTTGCTTATCAGTGTTCAGATAGCACTCAATTCTCCATGCTAAGATGTGGAGGCACCACAAAGAAAAATCTTATTTTAGCCATTTGTTTCAGTTTCGACTTTAGGAGAATTCCTAGTAAACAGCAAAACTGATTTCATGCCCCTCCCCTTCCCACTAGATCTTGAAGGTGTTAGTCAATTACTGAAATGGCAAAGGACACAAAAACAAAAGAGACAAACAAAAAGAACAAAAAGAATGACTAATTCCCAATTTGAAAAATTCATCCCAGGTAACAGAGATGACTGATAATGGAGCCAATGGGTAGAAGTCTCTTGAGATAGTAGTCTGGAGATAAAAAAAGAACAGCAGAAGTTGAGGCTAACATTTTGGTCATAATAGGTACAGGGGAAGAAAAATGTTTCCTCCACCTTGTTTGGGTCCCTGGCTGGGTCTGAACATTAAACTGATAGATTAACAAGAGAAAAGCATAAAAATTTATGTAAGATTTATATGACACAGGAGCCTTCATAGGAAATGAGGACCTAAGAAACAGACCTGAGCATTTTTCTGCTAGGTTTGATGAAGAGTGAACAGCCCTGGAGAAATACAGTAAGTTAGAGTATGAGGCAAGTGTAGTAAACTGGAGAATTTGGCAAGTCCGGTTTGTTGGGAATTCTTCTTAGAGTCCCTTTGCCTTCAGAGATAAGGATGCTCCTTTCTCTCAGGAATAAGGATGGAACCTTTCAGAGAAGGGTTTTATGACCTATTTTAGGGGAGAATACTGGGGAAGGTCAGAGTGACCTTCCTGTTTCTGCTATTTTCTCCAACTCCTTCATCTTAAAATCTTCAATCTGCTAAGGTGTCATGTTTCAGGGTATTATGGCCTGAAACCCCATCTCAAGTACTGACACATGTAATTAAAATAACAATGAAGAACATTCCAGAAAATTCTAAAAGTATGTTAGTGGTCTCTAAATAAAAATGGTACCTCATTATGAAGTTTTACATAGTCATAGAGACCACCAATGTGATAATTTATTGTCACCACAAGGCTTTTTGAAACTGACTTCAGAATAAACTTTCTCCTGCCATCCCTGTTTTTTAAAATATATTTTTACTAGAGGCCTGGTGCACAAAAATTTGTGCACTTGGGGGGGGGTCTCTCAGCCCAGCCTGTGCCCTCTCATAGTCTGGGACCCCTCGGGGAATGTCCACCTGCTGGCTTAGGCCCACTCCCTGGGGGATCGGGCCTAAGCTGGCAGTCAGACATCCCTCTGGCAGCCTGGCAGCCATCGAGGGATGTCCATTTGCCAGCGGGGAGCAGGCCTAAGCTGCAGTCGGACATCCTTAGTGCTGCTGAGGAGGCGGGAGAGGCTCCTGCCACCACCGCTGTGCTGGCAGCCATCAGCCAGGCTTGTGGCTGAGCAGAGCTCCCCCTGTGGGAGCACACTGACCACAAGGGAGCAGCTCCTGCATTGAGCGTCTGCCCCCTGGTGGTCAGTGTGTGTCATAGTGACCAGTCATTCCCAGTAGTTCTGCTGTTAGGGTCAATTTGCATATTATCCTTTTATTGTATAGGATAGAGGCCTGGTGCACTGGTGGGGGCCGGCTGGTTTGCCCTGAAAGGTGTCCCAGATCAGGGTGGCGGTCCTGCTGGGGTGCTTGGACAGCCTGGGTAAGGGGCTGAGGGCCATTTTCAGGCTGGCCAACCCCTTCAGCGGGGACCCTCATCCCATGGGGGTGTGGCCAGCCTGGGTGAGGGGCTGAGGGCTGTTTGCAGGCTGGCCACAGCCCCTTCAGGGTGGCGGGGGTTCCGCTGGGGTGCCTGGCCAACCTGGGTGAGGGGCTGAGGGCTGTTTGCAGGCTGGCCACAGCCCCTTCAGGGTGGCGGGGGTTCCGCTGGGGTGCCTGGCCAACCTGGGTGAGGGGCTGAGGGCTGTTTGCAGGCTGGCCACAGCCCCTTCAGGGTGGCGGGGGTTCCGCTGGGGTGCCTGGCCAACCTGGGTGAGGGGCTGATGGCCTTTTTCAGGCTGGCCACACACCTTTCAGGATGGAGTCCTAGCCTCTCCTTTGTGGGCTGGAAGCAGGTATCTAGGATTTATTTATCTTCTAAAATTGAAACTTTGTAGCCTTGAGCAGAGCCCAGGGCCAGCCAGGGCAGGCGGGAAGCTTGGCTTCCTCCATCACTGGGGGCAACCCAAGACTCCTGCTGGCTCCAGCTCCATGGCCGCCACCATCTTAGTTGGGTTAATTTGCATACTCTCTCCTGATTGGCTGGTGGGTGTAGCGGAGTGGCGGAGTGATGGTTAATTTGCATGTTTCTCTTTTATTAGTGTAGATTGATTTCAGAAAGGAAGGGAGAGGGAGAGAGAGATAAAGACATCAATGATGAGAGAGAATCATTGATCAGCCACCTCCTGCATGCCCCATACTGGGAACCTAGCCTGCAACCCAGGCATGTGCCCTGACTGGGAATCGAACCATGACCTCCTGGTTCATAGGTGGATGCTCAACCACTGAGCCACGCTAGTCGAGCCTGCCATCCCTGTTTATAAACATGCAATGAACAAAGAAGTTGCTGCCCTGTGCTGGTCTATTTGAAATATGGACTTGCATGCCAGAAGGCAGAATTGTACAGGTGTGGGTAGCAGTCAGTACATGTGCTCAGGGCTAGATTAAGCACCAGGACAGGCAACTCACTTTCAATTAGGTGCATCTGTTCACCTAATTGGGTAATAGTCAGCTGTATACATTACAATGAATCTCCACTATGGATCAGAAATATATTCCAGTGTTTATTTTAGGTTCTGGTTCTTTCAAGGGAGGGGAGAAATTGGTATTTATAGCAAGTTATTAAATTCTAAAATAAACAGATGTTGTGCGTTAAATTCTGAATTAAAATGACTCTGGCTGAAAAATAAATGAACAAACAAAATAGAAACAGACTCATAAATACAGAGGCCAGACTGATGGTGTCCAGAGGGGAGGGAGTGGTAGGGGGACTGAGTGAAAAAGATGAAGGGATTAAGAAGTAGAAATTGGTAGTTACAAAATAGTCCATCACAGGGATGTAAAGTACAGCATAGAAAATGTAGTCAATAATATTGTAGTAACCAGGTGGGCACTTAAGATATCAAGGGGGCCACTTGTAAAGTACATGATTATCTAACTGTTGCAGGTGGCTGGAATGGCACTGGGTATCACACTGGTGGGGTCAGAATGGACCTGGGTTCTGAAATCTTGATGCTTGAGTTCTGGTTGGGAAAGAATTCAGAGCCAAGACTGAAACTATAAAGAGAACATTTATTTATAAAATGGCAGAGGTAGAAGAAGTAATTCATAGAAGAAATGGGCTGAGGAAGCAAGTTATAGAGGCAAAGGAAGGGCCCTTGGAGCTTGGGAGTGAGGAAAATAATGGTAATGCACTTGGGGGCAGAGGGGGAGTGGGAAGGAGAAAGAAAAAGGGAAAAGGAAAGGAAAAAGGAAAGAAAAAGGGAAAAGGCATGGGCGTGCTCCCAGGAGGGAGAGTGCACTGAGTCCTCTGTCCTGAGGGTTTTAGGGTGGAGATTTTAGGGGAGGTCTCAGGGGAAGATCTCAATAGAATATTTAGCAGTTTTCCAGGGGTGTCCTTCCAGGGTCTAGGTCTCCACTGATTGATTGGTCAGCGCCAGGGCAGGGGGTCATTCTTCAATGCTGCTGGTCTTGAGGTCAGCCTTAGAGTTCCTGGTCCGGTTTTTCTGCTTTTCTGAGCTGGAGATGAAATACAACTGAGGCCTAAATGCTCTCTCTAGGGAGGAAAGGTGAGGGTATCCAAGTCCCATGACCAGCAATATGCTAGGGAAGGAAAGGTCCCCCTAAGAATGAAGTCCCACCCTACAATTGCCCATTGCTTGGCAACCAGGTCTTTCCACCCTGGTGACCTTGTGTACCTGGCCCATCATCCTTGCTCTGCTCATGTCTAACTTCCTACCACATCACCACTCTGCGGTACATCTGAAATGAATACAAAATAATATTAAATGTAAATTGTAATTGAAAAATAAAATAAATAATAAATAATAAAATGACTGGCTGAGACAGAACTTTAAGACTTTTGAAATTGTCAGTGAAATCAGGGGAAAAAAAATAGTCAGTAGTATTACACACTTTGTCTTCTAAGTTTTGAACACTTCTATTTACCTTTTAGGGGGAAAAAAACAAACAAAACTAAAACATCCAATGGGCTTTTTAGTGATGAAATTGTAGAACTAGACCCTCACAGTATCCTGAAGAAAGATATGGAAATTACTTGAATGCAGACATTTCAGATCTAAGAAGTGATTTGTTCCATTTGGAAATGTAAATTGCGTACCTGGCTTCCGTGGATCTGGCTTTCTCTGGAAGAAATGTTAATTTTTTAAAACTTTCCAGTGCTATGGATTATTGCTCATTCCCAGAGAGCTGTGGGTGTTCTCCTTCAGGCAACTGTTTATAGGAAATCTGTAACTGAGACCGTAGGGGAGCTGGAAACTCTATGGGCATGAAGCCCACTCTGGAGGACACCCCCTCCCAGGACACCTCATGCTCCACTGTGGCTTATCTACACTGAGTAAGTTGACTTCGGGGACAGTGGACTACTTTGTTGTGCTGAGTCACAGAACCACACCCTTTTGGGTGGAGTTTCCTGAATAACTCCTTAGTGAATGTTCCCGCTGTCCTCCACAGAGAGGAAGGTTAGACTGGGGACAGGAAATGAGGCAAGCCATGGTGTGAAATGGTGTCTGAGAAAAGCAGCTCTCTGTGGGATCTATTGGCAGTTTTGTCCAGATTTCTGAACCGTGGAAGGAAGTCTGGTTGCTGAAGAGTTCAGAACAAAAGCATTGTAAACCAAAATTAATTTGGGGCTGTGATAAAGACTAAGCATTTATTTGAGCAGAAGGAGCTGCAGCCCAGAACGCATAGATTAGGGGAATACCTAAATGGTGTCCCACCCAAGCAAAGAGGAGGGCTCCTTTTATAGTGGAAGTTCCCGCCCACATTCTCAATTAGGTTCATTTATGTAAATGAGATATCCAAATTGTGTGGTTCCCATTCGATAATGCAGGTCTCAGTCCTTTGGAAGAAAGGGAAAAGCAGGGTTTCCCTGCAGTGATGAACTCAGAAGACATTAACAAACAGGCCAGAGTGGAGGAGCTATAATCCGAGGTTCTTGCCAGTATACAGTATACAGAGTACGTGAGAAGCCCTGTCAGCAAATGGCCTCTAGGATCTATTATTTATAAAATTTGGGCCCTCAGCTGACCATGGGGAATCCATCTCAGCTGATAAATTCTTTCTCAAGGTTCACATTAAATGACTCTTTCCTCTTGGGGTCTACCTTGGAGTCAAAAGAATCATGATCTGCTATTTGGGAATAAATTGCTGAAGACGGCTGTTCGAAGTATAATCTGTGCGTCAGAGTTGGTCCAAGACTTGTGTGTTGTCAATTAACAATGAGAAAGTACAGAAAAGTAGAATTAGAAACTTTTAGAGTAGATTAATTTTTATTATTATTATTTTTTATTAATCCTCACCCGGGGATATTTTTTCACTGATTTTTAGAGAGAGTGGAAGAAAGAGGGGAAGACAGAAACATCGATGTGAGAAACACATCGATTGGTTGCCTTCTGCACGAGCCCCAACCAGTGCCGGGGCTGGGGAGGAGCCTGCAACCAAAGTACATGCCCTTGACCAGAATCGAACCCAGGACCATTTGGTACACAGGCTGACGCTCTATCCACTGAGCCAAACTTGCTAGGGCTAGCGTAGATTTATAAAGTAAATTTATGGCTTTTCAATCTAATAATAAATAGATTGGGGTTGTATTTTTATAGCCTTTTTCATCTCATGATTTTAGTTTTTTACAATATGTTTTTATTTATTTTAGAGAGAGAGGAAGGGAGAGGGAGAGAGAAACATCAATGTGAGAGAGAAACATTAACTGGTGCCTCCTGTATGCACCGTGACTGGGGACCAAACTGGCAACCTTTGGATGCATGGGAAGGACATTTTTAAAAAAATTAATCCTCACCCTAGGCTTAAGTAATCCTCACAATATGTTTTTGTTGACTTTTGGAGAGCAACATGATCACTTACCTTCTGCACGTGCCCCAAGTGGGATTGAACCCTCAACCTAGATATGTGCCCTCACTGAGAAAACAAACCTGCAGCCTTGGGGTGTATGGGATGACTCTCCAACCAACAGAACCACCCAGCCAGGGTTCATGTTTTTAGTTATTTTTATTATATTTTATAAAATTTGGTTAGTGACAGATTGGAAATATAGATAAAACGATCCTTTACCACAGATAGTTTGAGAGCACTTGTGTTGACCTATTTATTGAATTTACTTATATGGAAAATATCACAGATTTATTATAAATAATAAATGAGATGATGTTTGTAAAGTGCTCAGCCTGATAGCAGGCAGATAGTAGTCATTCAATAGACAGGAACTAATTTAACATATGTAATCTCTTGCTATTTAAATTGGGACTTAGATAATTGGGAGGAATTCACCAGATGAAGAAGTTAAAGGTGAAGGTTAGAGCGGGGCCAGGATATACAAAAATATTAATATAAGAAAGGGCATGTCAAGCTGGCTGAAACCCTGAAAGTACAAGTCAAAGCCCTAAGAATTAAAATATATTGTGGCCATTACATATCCTGGAGTTTTACCAACAGTCAGGCCTATTCTCCTTAAAAATTATTTTTAAGGTCCTCAAAATTCCAATATGTATATCTCGTGTATTTTTCCTAATTTTAGCTCTTGAAATACAGTAACTCAAAGTATTGGTAGTGTTTGATATTCTTATATTAACAAGATTCACAATTATATGGCATTGGAGTTTACTTGCATATGATGCTAGTTCTTGAAATATAGTAACTCAAAGTATTGGTAGTGTTTGATATTCTTATATTAACAAGATTCACAATTATAAAATATGGCATTGGAGTTTACTTGCATATGATGCTAAATGTATCCAAATGCAAAAACAATTTTTTAAAAATTTATTTACTGTTGATAGTATTACAGATATCTCCCATCTCCTCCCTACTTCTCTCCTCCTTCCCCAAAATAAATTTGTTAAAAGATTATAAAGGAAATATTGTATATATTTAAGAAGATTAAATTTTTATCAGCACTCTATTATACTTTTCATATAATCAATGCTCTTAATTACAGACACACCTCAATTATAGACCCTTGTGTAACCTCTGCTTGCAAGAACTTCATTATTCATTACATGAAGTGAGAATATGCCCTAGAAGGTAATAAATCTATGTTTTTATAGATATCCCTCAATTACTTTTCTTAATTAAACAATTCAGAATTATCGAGGTGTAGATGCAGATGCTCTTTTGTTGTAGGAAGTAACTCAATAACGTTTTACTTTTCATTCTTTATGTGTGTCACACACACCTATGATGTAGGAAATACGTTATAATTCTCTGAATTCATAAAACTGCCGAATAAGAAGTACAAATAATGAATGCATAGCAGAAACTACATGAAAACTCTTGACTCCATTCTTTGTTGTTTTTCCTTTTCCTGCTGCGACAGCCTGCCTAGCATTTTGGAAGGTAAGTTTCAATTATTATTTGCACTCTCCCTCTTCTTTAACTTGCATTCCTTCTAAACATATTCTCATCTCATTTTAACTAAAAACAAATGAGTCTTTCATTCTTGTTAATGAGTTATGGTCTCTGGCTTTAATGTTAGAAAGTGATCTTCCTTAAGAAAAATTCTAACAGCAGTACAAAGGATCTATTAGCAATTGTTGGGGGTATGGTCTCCCTTCCATGACTGTCACAGTTATATTGTTTGATGTTGCGGAATTGGCATTGTTTTCCTGGTAAAACGCATGCCGCAGATGGTGGGCAGCCAGATCTTGTTGAAATAGGCAATTGTAAGATGGACTGAGTCCTGAAAAGCCCTCAGCCAGTGCGGTGAAGTGTTTATATTATTTCATTGAGGAAAAAAAAAAAAGATGGTAATTTGGGCCCTGAAAGACTTGAATAAATCAGAAGTTTCCCTCATCTGTACACTACATTTCACAGGAAGATTTTGCTGGACACAAAATTGCAAATCGTCTGCTGAGTTAAAGGATATAAAAATTAAAATGGCCAATTAAATGCAAATCATCACTGTGCTCAGGACAAGTGCAGACTGACCTAGTAGGTAAGTCATGCTTTGATGATTATAGCAGTCATTTCCCTTTTAATAGAGAATGGAATTCTAGCAGACATCATACACGATGATTTGTTCCGTGAACCTGTCCCCGGCTTGAAGCAAGATTCCTTTGTAATTTGCATGGCTAGCTCCTTCTCAATGCTCTAGTTTCTGCCCAAGTGTCTCCTCCTTGAAAAGGACTTTGATCTCCACTTTACCTAAAATAGCCTCCCTTGCCCATCACTCTATGTTTTTATTTCAGTCATAACTAGCACCATCTGATATGATCTCATTTATAAATTTGATTACTTACTATTATCTTTCCCCTCTAGATACAACACATATTTATGAGGGTAGGGACTACATTTGTGTTTTCACTGTCTCCAATCCCTGGCTCAGCAAGCACTCAATAAATTTGTGTAAATAAATAAAATAATATTCTAAGCATATGTGTAAGATAGCTCTTTAAAATAAAAACTATCTCATATTTTTTAAGACCAGGCACAAGAAAAACTATTGATTATTTTATAAAGCTTTTTCTTAGAACCACAGGAGTTCTAAGACCTTGCTCTCTTTCTACCATTTTTGAAATGTGAAGAACGACATTTTTTTTTAAAAAATAGGAATTTGGTTTAAAAGGATTATTGGCAGAAAAAAAGTGCTTTTCATAAACAGGCACACAAAAATAAAACCACTAACCATAATGCATAACTACATAGTTATTTTCCATTTGTTGTTTTCCTCTAGTTGGGAATTTAAGCATACAGTAGTTTCATTAATACCAAATTATGGGAGGGGCATGGGGATGCCATTATCATATTATAAAACTCTCTTTATAATAGTCTATCTCTCTGTAGCTAGTATTTGTTCTGAGTCAGTTCCTATTATTCATTCTATTTAGCCAGTACTGAATCTTTATTGATCTTTTCTTCATAAAAAAAAAGAAAAATCAATGTTCTATTATGTTTGTTAAACAGGTAGAGTAAGATTGTGGTGGGCATGGCAAACGAAGCAATGGATAATGATTTGCTGAGATGTTCAATTTCATACAGTATAGGGAAACTAAGAATAAGATAATAAATCACTACTTGACATCTACTAGTACGTCTGTTTATCTTAAACATCCCAAACGTGTGTGGATCCCAATGTCAAAAAAAATTAAAAGTAATTTTTTAGAGAGAAAACAGACATCGTTAAAAATATCTGCAATTTAAATTTCTAATTTTAATATGTCTCCAGTTTGCATGAGTTAGAAAACAAAATGAGTATAGGCACTAAAAGATATTACATTATTCCAAGGAATCTAGCCTTCAGCTGAGGTGAGCCACTTCTGCCCACCTTTT